AGCTGCGCCGCCGCCGCCGCCGTCGCAACAGAATAAAAAAATATATATAAGGCGAGAGGGAAGAAACAAAAAAAATGGAAAAAAAATACCAGCGCCTGCGGCCGAAGAAATGAGTTTTCTTTATTTTTGATGCATCTTAGATTCTGTTGACGTCGACGTCGTCGTCGTCGTTGCTGCTGGTGCTGCAACAACAACAACAACAGCATCATTATGTTTGTTGGCTGGCTGGTTGGTTTTTTTGATTTCTTGGAATATCGCCATCTACTTTGAACCTTCCTTCTCACATCATGGCCCGACACTGCATTGTATATTTGAATTTCATTTCAATTTCAATTTAAATACCATTTTCTATGAAAATGCACGCACTACAAAATGTTACCGCTGTCTACCCCTCCCTCCCTCCCTCCCTCCCTGCTGCTGCTCCTCTCACACCCTCCCTCCCCCCTCACACTTCCCTTTCTTCAATCCATGTCCAAGAATTTTTTCAAACGTATGTTTGAATGCATTTTGTACTCCTTCGCATAGTTCGTGTGTGTGTGAGTGTGTGTGTGTGTGTGTGTGCGCCCCCAATAAGTCGATCGCGACGTTGCAAGTTGACGTTACTTGCAACTTAGGAGTTGCAATCCGAATGCGATTCCAGTGCGAAAGACGAGCTGCCATATGAGGCGGCCGGCAGGGCCATAAAAAATACACAATATTCCGGAAAGGAGTTGGTCATGCATGCCCAAGAGCTTGATTGTTTTTGTTTTCATTGTTGTTGTTTTTTCACTCATCTACTCTCGCCCAGCGCACCACCCCTTCGCTCCCCCCCCTCACCCCATCAGTACTCCTACATTTCACACTTAGCGGCAATTCATGGAAATCTGAACTCATTTATCGAACGATTTGCATTAAATGGCGAAAACTCCCAAACGACCAGCGAAAAGTTTTCCATTTCCCATGCTATATAGAGTAGGGTATTACCGCAGCTGAATAGTTTGAGGGGCTTGTAATATCAGACATTTATATCATTTTCATTATAGACAGTAATTTGGGGGCAGTAAGGATCACTAAAGTCCAGAGCTTTTATAATTTAAGGGGCTCGGAATATCGGACAATTATATAACTTTCATTATAGACAGTAATTTGGGAGCAGTAAGGACCACTAAGGACCAAAGCTTTTATGAGAGCGAACTCCTGAAGCTATCCTCAAAATAGCAACAAGTCCTTTAACCGTTGTTAAAAAGCAATCCCTATTTAATAAAATTTGAAAAAGGTGTAAAAATAGGTCTTACAGTTCGGCTTCTCTGATTTCAATCGAGAAACTGCGGCTTTCATCTTCGGAATAGATTTTGTTGTAAGTACCGCTAATTATTTTGTATTGTAAACTTCATCCTTTCAGGTTACAAATGTGAACCTAGGGTTATCCTAAAGAATAGTCGCTATACAAAAAATGACATCAATTAAAATTTCTTACGTAATTTGTCGAAGCAATCGATTTAGTCTTTGCAGTTTTTCTGGAATGTTGTCTTCATGTCAAATTTGAAATATAGTTTTAAATTTAAATTCCATTCAGATTTTAGAAAGCGAAAGAATGGATCAAGCTTTTTCCAAATCTATTCTTTGACATTATTTAAAAAAAAGGAGAAGAGAACTTAAATCAATATAGAATTTTAAGAATTATTGTAATTGTAATATCGGTTGCTTTTAGCGAATTCTTTGATAAGTAATATTGATCATAAATGGATGTATTTTCGACCTATACGTTCTACTTAAATTCGTCTCTTTAGGCAACAGACCTCGAAATAATTTACTCGAAAATATAATACGTTGAATTTGAGGATAGACGAGAAGTTGAATTTCAAAGTATAATCAATGTAGTGGTAAGAGCTAGACTTTAACCTTAAGCGGATCCAAAAATGGTGAAAGTGGTTTCTGCTATTTCCTAAGTAAACGCAAACGCCTTAGGTACTTCACGGTACGCATATTGCTTTTCAGCGAGGATCTAATGAAGCACTTAATGGCTACTATAGTTTACACTATATGTACAATTAAATTTTTCAATTTAATATAGTTCCTGGCTTTTACTCTAAATATATGTTCAAGTGTTTCTAAAATCGTGTTAAAACCCATGTGATGTTGACGAATACCCATTACTTTTTAAGGAGACTTTTATAAAATATTCAATGGTTATAGTTGTACACAGTTTTGGGTGAGTTAGGCTCGTTATTGAATGTAGTTTGGTACGATACTTTTAGGACCACATGTGAGCTCTGAAAAAAAAAATTATGGAACCGGCAAATTTTCAAATCATCTATGATGATAAGTGGTGCAAAAACCCTAGGAATCGCAAAGTTATTCTTCAATCATTCAATGGTTTTATTTACTGGCTGTTAAGAAAATTTCAGTTGGCAGTGTTTGACAGATGCTTGCCAATAAAATGAAGGAAACATTTAGCAGAGCTCTGCAGTTCCTCGCTAGGGATTTCAAGGCATGTCCATTACTTTTCAGGGCGTGTTTAATCAAATATTCAATGGGTATAATTCAGAATAGTTCCATTAAGTTTTGAGCTGACAGTATTAGAAACTCTAATTATAAAGTTTGGAACATTTAGCAGACGCCAAAATACTTTTCAATGAGGGTATAATCAAAAGCATTGAAGGGCTTTAGTTTTGGACAGTTTTGGGTGAGTCAGGCTGATTATAGAATGTAGTTTAGAACTTTACATTTCGAATAAAAAAATGTATGGAATCTAAAAAATCGAAATCATTTACGTGGCACGCTAACTACTTTCCAAGGCGTGTCTAATCAAACATTCAAGGGCTATAGTTTTGAACACTTTGGGTTAGTCAGACTGATTATGAAATGTAGTTTAGAACCTAAAATTTCAGATCATAAAATGTACGGAATCTCAAAAATCAAAATCATTTACGTTGATAAGTGATGCTACGGATTTCAGAGCACACCCATTACTTTCGAAGGAGGGTCTAATCAAAAGCATTCAAGGGCTATAATTCCGAATAATTTCGGTGCGCCAGAATCGTTATAAAATCTAGTTTGGCACGATCCATTTAAGCCCGCCGTGTTAGGTTAAGCTGAGTACGGCGTGATCTTGGGCAGTGTTGTTTTTTTTTCTATATGTGTATTATAAATGTCTGGTATGGATATTGTATGGATATTTTTTTTAGGCGGCGCAGGCGAGCGCATCAAATGAGGCATCAAGGACAGTGAGGACGATGGCAATTTGGTGTGACCTTTTGGAAAATACGTGTTGCTGTTGCAGTATGGCAAGTATCCATAGTTTTTCTAACGGCCGTTTCGGATCGGTTCGGCGTTTCGAAGGCAATACTTGTACATACTCGTACATATGTGTGTGCATCTCTCACCTTTCAAATGGGAAATTCCTTGGTTTGTACGAAAACGGCGCGTAAGCATGCAAATAAAAATTTCACACCTTTGCGCATGTGCTGCGCACATCTTTGTGGGTCGGTGCGCATCTGGGAAAATCCCAACTGTTGCCAACCTGCTGTACAAACATATGCGCACTGTTTGAGGACAACAGGACGGACCATGGGCATGACTGTGCTGACAAAAGATAGAGAGAGAGAGAGAGAGAGAGGGAGAGGGAGGGAGACAGAGAGGGAGCAACAGGCGCTTGTCAATGAAGCTGAGGCTCTGAAGAGACAGAGAGAGGTACGACCCAGCCGAGTGGTTCCTAAAAATTCTTCACAAGTAATTCGTAAATCCCAGCCGCAGGTATTTAGTTCCGCCTTTTGTCTATCTATGGAATTCCCAATGCTATTATTGCACCTAAGCCATCACCACTGGCTATACCAACAACGAGACCACCAGCCAACCACCCATTGCTTCTCGCCTGCTCTCTCTCTCTCTTTCTCTGTCTGTCTCCCTCTCTCTCTCTCTCTCGGTCGGTTTCTCTAGGCTGTTGCTGCGCCGGCGCCGCAGGTCAAAAGCAGAGACAGCAGCAAACTGGAGGAACCCAACAGTGCTGAGAGTACTTTGGTGCCTTTGCTTTCTGGCGATGAAAATCCAAACGTGCACGTTCTTTTCATTTACAATGTTTTTGTTTAATTTTTCATTCGTTTTGTTTTATTTTGTTTTGTCTAGGACGCGCCGCTTTCGGCAGCTGAATGGCCCGAAACACTTGGCCCGGTCGGTCGGTCGGTCGGTCGGACGGTCGATCGGTCTCTTGGTCTGTCGGTTGGTTGTTCGATCCCGGGTGGCTCGATGGTGCGACCTGCCGGGGGCATTGTTCAATATAATTTCTTTTTTTGTTGTTGTATTGTATTGTTGTTATTTCTGCTTTTTTCTTCATTTTTCGGACTGACCAAACGACATTGATGAATTGAAGAATGATTGCTTGCCTCAAAAAGGGCCTGCAAGCGCTTAAACGAACCTCAGAGTCGCTGCGTCTGGGCCTGCCAGCCAGTCTGCTGCCCCTGGCAGGCCCAGAGCAGCGTAGAGTAGAGTAGCGGAGAGTAGTCCGATTCGCGTTTCGTCTGTGCTCGTCTGACAGCCTCGCGTTTCTGTTGTTGTGTTATTCAATAGAAACATAAATAAGTCAGAGAGCCGCATAGGCATGCACTTGCGTTGGACGGATAGATGGATGGATCGACGGACGGACGGACGGACAGGCGAGCAACCAGACTGACTGGCACCTTTTTTTTCTAATGAATGCAGTCAGCATGGCTGGCTGGCTGGCTGTCTAGTCTTCAGTGTATGGGTGTGTGCGTGTATTTTATATTTTTCATTTGGTCTGTCAGCGTTCGATTTCAGAGGATTTTTATGAAAAAAAGAAGGAAAACACACGCACAATTCGTGCTCCATAGCTCAGATGGATGATGGTTGGACTGAGGGTCTGTGGTAATTGATAACCGGAAAATCCGTTGCACCCACAATGGACAGTAGTAGTCTCTACCTACTCCCAAACCATAGTATGTATGGATATGTACATATAGTATAGAATCGAGAATATGGCACACACAGCTGGAAACTCAACTCACCCGCTTTGCGCACAGGTGTCGATAATTCGGCCATCAGGTCGGCAAGGTTCTTCTTTTGTCCACTCTCGCTTAGGGGGGAAATCAATTTTTGCGTATATGTAAAATCCTATTAAAAAGAAAAGATACACACAAAATCTGCATATTAGTGGGTTTAAAATATAACTAACTATCTCTTAATTGAAGGTAAGTATTTGAAGCCTCATAATAGGCAGCATCAATTGAAAGAATTGCATCGAAATTAAAGCAAATAAAAAACAAATCACTTTAAATAGTAGACATATGTATATTATTATTATACTATTAAAAAAGCTACTGTTTTTTTATATTTAAAGTAATTTGTTTCATGGACTCTTTTTATAAAAGGCGGCTATTCATTCGTAGGGTATTAGCATTTTTCAGATATTTTGCTTTAACTTTAATTAAAACTTAAGCTTTTGGCATTTAAAGGCAAAGTTATGTCAATGAATGCCTTTAAATGAACTTATTTTCAAATAACAAACACATCTTAGACTATTTTTATGATTAACTATAAAATGGAAATATAAATGCCTAATCTCGTTTGATCGAAAGATAGCTCAAAAAGAGGAAAGAAGGAAGAAGCCTTTTCCTATAAATTGAAAACTATATATTAGATTTATGCTACCCTTTCTTTTCCAGTTATCCCTTAATGCTTACGTACATCGTCATAATAAATTCGAATTGGAATGTTTTTAAACGACTCCTGATCGCTGTAGGGTTCCATGAGTCGCCTATTAACGGCCCAGAACTGATCAAATTTGTCATTGATTAGCCCTAACCAGAGCTGATTGTGATCTTTCTTCTGCATCGAGGATATCACTTGGCCTCTATGCTTTAGCACGTCGGCCTCCTTTAGGCAGGACATATAATGTGATTCGAGCAGTTCTCTGTAAAATGCAATAATAATCATAATATATTAGCAAAGTAATAACAAGTTACAAGCAATTTTTTGATCATACTTTGTGTTCAATTTCACCAAAGTCTCTTCGGGAAAATGGGAGAAGTGTATCGTGAGGCACCATGGCGCGGTGTCTCCTTCCGGATGCAACAAGTCAAAAAGCACGCCTGCAAAGCCAGTCGAGTGTTTATTTGCATTATTTAATACTTATTGAGCATGTGTGTATATATATACATATATGCATGTGAGTGTGTGTGTGTGTGTGTGTGGTGCTTACCAATTGGAAAATGTAGACGCAGGGGTGTGCCGTTAAAATCGAACCAGACAGCTCCCTCCTGATGCTCATTGGGTATATAAGGACTGAAATATTTTCGCACCTAAAACATAAAATGGACGAGCACTTTATTGATACTTTGTTCGCTTTATTCATCATGTTTACAACCTTATCAGTGACGAGAGGTAAGTAGCTTAGACGCGAGACCATCAGGTAGAAGGGTTCGGGCTTAAGGCCAACGATTTCATCGCCATCGGCTTGGAAGCAAATTGCAATTTGCCCCTCCCATATCATGCGCAACACTTCACGGTCATGGGCCATTTTCTTATATTTGGCTACTTTATTATTATTACTGATTATTCACAATACAAACAAACAGTCAACAAAAACCAAACGCGAGTTCCATAAACATATGGGCGGACAACAGATGATTGCGTGCCACAGCAGGCAGCATTGAGACGGCGGCAGCCAGTGTGTACACACATTGCTTGTCAAAAGCAGTTGAAAATGAATGGTGCATTAAATAAGAAGGGCTTTAACATTCAGTTTACATAAATATAAAGAGCTAAATAACCGAATAGTAATAATTGCATTTAGTATAGTGCGTGTGATAAATGAAAAACTTCAAGCTATTGACTTAAGCAGATTAGATCGATAGGCCGCGATCTATCCACCACTCGATAGCCAGAGGCCTTCATCTCTAGAAAATTCGATAGCAGCGCCAACACAGCTCTGGGCGCATAAATAAATAAAGCTGGCTGGCTGCTTGTGGTAATTCTCAACGTTTATTTATTTATATTAAATTACGAATTTTTTTGAAATTGCTGCGAAATGTAAATATGAAGTGGAATCTCGTTGCACATGCGAACAAATTTGAACTGTTTTCAAAATCGTGTGATTCATAAATTCGACGGGATTGTTGTTGGAGCCCATCAAAGAGCAAGAGCATTTGATATTGACGACGACGGCTCAACAGAATGGATGTTGAAATACCTGTTTTGGCTGGATATCTTAATGTTCCAACACAAACTGGATTTTCGCTAAATCGCATCTCGAAAAAGGTAAGTGCGCTGCCTTTTGCGCCTTGCAAGCGCAAGCAAGGCAAGGCAGGGCAGCCAATCCCCCACAAATACAATGTGCGCATAATAATGAAAACAAATTATTCAAAAAACTACAAATTTCTTGAGAAATTGTACGTTTGCCTGCGCCTATTTGCGCATTAAACCAGGACTTGTTGTGCTTGTAGCAAGCATGTGGTGTGGCGGGGGCGCCTCTGAAATTCAAATATACATACATATATACATATGTATGTATGTACATATGTAAGGATGTATGTATGTGTATTTGCATGTGCATGAAATACTTGTTGCATACAAATGAAGCATAAGGTACATATGTATGTATGTCTGTATGTTCGTACATACATAGTATATGCCGAACATATTTTCGGTTTGCGTGTGCGCGCCTGTGTGGTAACCAATACAAACAAATAAAACACACATACGCACAGGCATGCGCATATAGGCGACATACCTACATACATACATACATATAACCGCCCGTACCCATTCCCAAGTATCTTTCTACACACATGTTGAATGTGCGATTTTATCCGTGCATGTTTTGGTGGGGCTGTGTGTGTTTATGTACTCATGTCCATATCACAGGAAATGCTTGAGCAATGTCTGTACATACTACATATATACATACATATATGTATGTATGAATAAAAACAAACAAACAAATCTACATACGGACATACATACATACGTACATGAACATATGTATGCAAAACTTCTATTGTATTTATGGCTCTTCCAGTCTCGCAAAAAAAGCAAATAAACACAAAAATACTAAAATAATTTCAAGTTATGTAAGTCCAACTTGAAACTTCATTAACACAGCACTAAAGCGCTTGATGATTGGGTCTTTGGCCATAAATAAAATAGCAATACACATGAAATGAGTTTTTCAATCACACTCACACATAATATTTGCTTGCTCGACTCTTTCCGACCCTCTACATTTTCATGAATGTGAAAAGGATTGGCTTGCCATTTGCTAATTTGCTGACACACATTGTTTGGAAATGTGATCTGCATTTGCAATGTTTATTTTCTTTAGGGCTTTCGCAAATAATGCAAAATAATAATAATACTAACAACTAATTATATTGCAGAAAGCAGCCAGCCGATATTGTCTCCTATTCAAGGCCAGTCGTCATGGCATTGCACGCCTTGAAATTTGTGAGAACAAAGATGATAAGAATCCGAAAATATTCACACTCGAGAATTGTGTGAAAATAACACAGGAGCAGACGCCATCAAATCTAATACAGATTGTTAAACGCAATGGCACTCTAACTCTAAACACAACGACTGATGAGGAGCTCAAGGATTGGGTGACGGCTCTGCAAACAGTGGCCTTTTGCGATAATACCGTCGTCCATGCCTCACATGGTGCCATCGAGGAGGATAACGATCTGTATTGTAGCTCATTTGTAAGTAATATAGTTTTCTACAATTATATACAAAACGATATATTTTAGTATACATATATTAATATATAGGGAGAGAAGGAGGAAAGAACTGTGAACAAACAACAAGTAACCAACACAGTATAATTTTTAAGCTGCATATCACATTTCTATGGTGTATAACGGTTCCGGCCTATTCGTATTTGTGGTACTAATTTCGTTAAGATTCCTGGACTTTGTCATACAACACACAATACTCTCAGAATCGTAGGGAACTAGAGTGCGCCAATGTTGTGGTTCATCTTGCAACATATGCAAATAGTTTAGGAACATCCCATAGGTTAGAAATAATATTTTTTTGCAGCCAAGACTATGATGGTAGGAACATTTACGATCGTAAATCCATTTCCGTGCGCAATCACTCTGTGCCATTCGTCCCTGGTACTTCCCCGACCAATTCATGCTGCAATCAAACAAATACTGAATATATATATTTATATATGGATATGCAACTTCTCACGAATCGTCTAGGCCTTTGAGAAACATGCTAGAAATCCCCTCAATGGTTATCAGTTCCTCTAGATGACTGCAATCGCGCCGCTTACGAAATGTCAATAGAAACATAAATGGCAGCAGTTCAAAACGGACACATTGCATAACCTCCACTGCCAAAGGTTTGCGCTTGTCCCAATCGTGTGCCAACCACATCATCACAGCCATAAAAACCTGAAAAATGCAAAGAACGTCGTCCAAAGTTGCCTGCCAGAGGGAGAAAAATAAATACCCTGCAGCCAAAGGGAATAGAATTCTAATCATGTCTAAATGGTGTATGCTTTTCTTGTCAATTATGAGTTTCTATAGTGCTTACAATTTGAAAGCATAGAAAACTCTTATTGGCTACATTTTTCTATAGATCGTAATATTGATTCTTGATCAGCAGAACGAATACTTTTCCTATACTTTTCGTTCCTATGCCTAATTTAGAAATCATCCGCTTTGTTATATCTTTTTTAAATAGGAAACATTCTATTCTAACGGCTTAGCTCGTTGTGGGTGCAGGGTTATCTATCCATTATCAATATCATACCTCCATTTCACTGTTTACCGCAATTGTGCCGCGATAGAGAAGGTTTTTTAGGGACTTGATTGGCAGGTGCGCAAACTCCAGGCTGGCCACATATGTCAGAAAGATGCAATTGATGCGCCCAAATAGTGTGTCCTCCATATTAAATGAGATTTTATTGCCGGCCTCGTATAGCAAGAGGGCTCTATCCTCCTCTTTGGCATTCACATCGAGCAACATCCAGGACTGCGTGACAAGTTCATCGATGCGCAAAAACATTGCGGCTCGAAAGATATCCATGAACATGGCATATGAAAGATCCTCACACGGGTCCAGGGCCCAACGATAGATGGCGACAAAGGCGCGTGCCGACACCTTCGAGGAGGGCAAGTTTAGGACATGGGATTGTTTTAAGCTTCTAATAAATTTCGAGATAATCCGCAACACCATTGTGTGGCAGAAATACTGCTTGCCATCGACCATCACAATCAACGTGGGTCGAATATTGTGCAGATACATGTTCAGCAGTAGGTGCATTAGAGTGCGTCGCTCCGGCACTGGATGGCTCTTCCAGTGTTGTGTTCTTGGCGTAAATTGCGATAGAGGCGCTACCGCTGGCTTCTCCGGTATATGTACCTCAACTGCGCTGGAACACTGCAGAAGCGCATCAAATGCTTCCAATGTATATTTTGGTTTCTTGGACTCTCTTTGGCTTTGGAACCCAAAACCGATCAATAAATAACCATCATTAATTTTACACATCTCAACTCACCTTTTTATACATCTGTCCATTCTGTTTACCTCAAATTACAAGTTGTACGTGAAATTTCGAATGTGATTTTTTGACAGAAAAGCCTCTGAACATTACAACAGCAGCCACACATAATTGAACCCTCGGAATACGCTTTCAAAGCTTGAAATTAACGGTATAATATGGCTCTCAATTTTTTCACCCAAATTTGTGATCTCTATTCTGAACTAACTGAAGTATAAAAATATTTGTTTAATTTTTTCAAAATAAAACATCATAATCCATAACCTAACTAATCAAGACTTCGACATATGTAATCAAAACTTTACAATACGCTACAGAAGAGCTATAAGCCGATGAGCATTAAAGTAGAAGAAATAGTGTAGTACAGTATCTTTGAGAAAGGGAAGGATTTCAGTGAAGTTAGCAGGACGAGAAAACAATAATCTATGCATTGTTAAATTATCCCAAATTTAAAATAGAGAAAACAGATGAAAACATTTCTTATTTAAAGAGAAGAGATGTTAAATCTTTAATCTTCAATGTAAAAGAGAGAAAACAGAGCAAACTTGTTCCGAAAACTATTCTTATTTAAAGAGAAGTTAGATCTTTAATCGTCAATCCTATAGGACCAGCATATTCTTGATTTTCTTTCCAGTTTGTATTATATTAGTTAAATCTTTAATCTTCAATCCGATACGCGCAGCATATTCATAATTATCTTTCCCGCTTGCACTGAATAAGTAAACTAGATTATCTACTTATCTTATCACTAAGAAGCTCTAATTGGAGTCTTTTCGAAGAATTCACCTTAATTATGCGCATTTACAAACTGATTTCTTTTTTTTTTAATTACAGGATGGTCTGTTTATCATTACGCTCATACCCTCAGAGGCCTCCATACGATGCAACATCGAGCCGCGCACATATATGCTGCAAATGACGCCCACAGAGCTGCAGCTGAAATCGGAAGACCTGAATGTGACTATCGCCATGTGGCCATATCGCTTCATACGAAAGTATGGGTATCGCGATGGAAAATTCACCTTCGAGGCGGGACGGAAATGCACGACAGGCGAGGGTGTCTTCACGTTGGATCACAGCAATCCGCAGGAGGTGTTTCGCTGCATGTCCGCCAAAATGAAGTCCATGAAGAAACTGATCAGTGGCGACAGCTTGAGCAGCATTGAGTGTGGCGAGAACCATTTCAGTGCTGCTGCCTGCATGGAACCGGGCTCTCGTAGTCCACTGCCACCGTCGCCATCGAATCAGCATGGCGGCGAATTCGAAATCAATTCCACACAAAGCTGCATTTCGTTGCGAGGTTTTATATCCTCCAACGATTCGCTAAATAACTTTGCGGGCAATGCCAGTGGCGTTGGCGGTAATGCCAGCAGTGTTTCGGTGCCGCCACCACTGCCGCCCCAATTGAAACACATTCCGAACAAACCGCCACGCAAGTTGCCTGCTCCGCTGGACAAGCTGAGCGTTGGAAGCGCGAGCAGCCCAGCTGGCCAAATCCTTTGTGATAAATTCAAGAACATTGTGAAATACGAACCCGTTGCCATAACCACATCGTCGCCATCGGATGCGAACAATAAGAATAGCGGCTCGGCTGTGATGCTTCAACCGCCATCACCAGAGATGACGTCCCGCTCGTCATCATCAAACACCAACCACGCAGCCCATCCAGCCAATCCCCCCGATCTGCCATTACGCAACGAAAGTGCCAAAACAATGCTCGAACGCGATTACGAATGCATCGAGAATATAACCGATGCGTGGAAGACGCGCGGCGTCGGCGATGTCAAGCATTGCGAACGCATTCCACAAATTCTATGCGAGAATGAGTTTGTCCGCCAGCGTTCCCAATCGCAGCGCGACAAACGCAAGGAGGTGCCGACTCCCCCCACCAACACAACACCCAAAATCATAGACATTGACATTGGTGAGGGCAGTGTGGGTGTCGGTGTTGGTGTCGGTGTGGTCAGTGTGGGGGCAGCGGCAACAGCTGCTGATTCCACATACGATCGCCTCGACTTTTTCTCACCCAACAATAAAACTTCCAGCGGCTACAAGACCATTGTTAATGTTACACCGCCCAATAATCGCTTGCGCTGCAGTCCACCGCCTCCGAATGAATACGAACTGATCGCTAGTCCCGACACCGAAAGCTTTCGCAAGGCTGATGACAGCCATTTGGGCTACGGTGTACTCCGAAAATCCATCTCCTCCAACACCACCACCACCACCGCCAGCAGCAGCAGCAGCAGCAACAACAACAATAATAATGTGACTGCAACCATCGGAATCTCAAGCAACAACAACAATGCGACCGAATCCATGTTTCCCACCAGAACGATGGTCAGCAACTGTACCACGCCCACAACGCCCACATCGAACAAGAGCAACGACCATTCCCTGGATCATCGCAGCTATAATGGCCTCAATTATACCATCGTTAGCAAGCCCAAGAGAGTGTAAGATTCGTGAAGGTCGGTCTGGAGAGTACTGAAAGGGTGGGGTGGGGTGTGACGGGGCGGTTCGGTTCGGTGCGGAGCAAGGTTAGTGGGGAAAGTAATCTCTTGTAAAGCACACATTTCGAATATAAGTGAAACACTTTTTTTTATAACTATTATTATAATAGATATTTTTTTTATTGTTTTCCGAAAGAAGAGAGAAGAAAGAGATGGCAATCTTATTGTTGAAAGAGCAAGTGACAATTGGATTTCAAAGGCATGCGGAATGAAATACGAAAGGAAACTAAATTGTAGCTTTAAGGCCAGTTCTCTTAATGTCTGATTAAAGTGTTTTTTAGTTAGGGGAAAGAAAAACCGCCATTTAATGGTTGAAATTGTATCGCAAATAACAAAGAAGAATTCCTTGTTTCATAATTTTTCAAACGCTTAAAATCGAAATCTCTGAATAAGCCCAATATCGTTTATCACAATTTAAACCGGATATTGTGAGCGGAACAAAATGTGAAAAAAGTAGCGCCAGTTTGTCATTCTAATGTAAAGGCCAGCTAAGGTAGACGAAATGTTGGGCGATGGAGCTGCAAAAATTATACAATTATAGGAAACAAAGATCATCTACACATTTCTTCTATCTAACGATCTCTTTAGACCAATTTTCTCAGGAGTTGTTTTTTATTTCACTTGAGATTTGTTTGGAAGATTTTAAAGATTTTTAACGCTATTTCTTCTTTATATAAAAGATTTTATGGGATCGACACTTTTTCATTAATCCCAAATTCTTTTTTGAATGAAAGATGATGGCATGGCCTAAGAAGATGATGGATTACAAACACCAGTAAAGCCCATAGAAAAAAAGAGTTATACGATGGTTGATGGCTTAGGGAAGATGATGGAAAATCAAGCAAAAGTCACAATTTTTTTTTTTATCAATTTTTTTGATTTTGTAGACTAAAAAGAATAGTAGGAAGCTTTAAAGTCGAGAGCTATTTCAGAATTTCTGTAGAGAGTTTTAAAATGTTAATCGAGCGAAAACCTGTTTGCCGTTTCGTTATGAATGATAATCTTTGATTGATACGACTCGATATCAAAATTCCATTTATATTATGAACAAATGTATATTGCAATTCAGTACTTAAATAGTCTAATTTTTAAGTGAATTTTCACTAACATATGTATGCCATAGGATTTGCTCGTATTTCAGGCCGCATTGCCAAATTATTTTTGTTAACCAGAGCCCTCGATAGTAACTGGTAAAAGTATTTGGTGGAGAGAGGTTTCAGTTTTTAAACAATTTGTGCAAAATTTTAAATGCTGCTCAATTCATTGACTATTATGTGTCTGCCATATAACTATTATTTTCATAATTATACGATTTATTTGTAATCGACAAATGTTATTGCTCAGATAATGTTGCATTTGCTCTTAATTGACAGATAAGTGCTTTTTTTTTTGTATAATTCAAATTTGTTAAATTCATAATCTGTGATTCTACTGTTAATAATGATGAGGGTCGTGTTTAGTTGCATATGTATGTGTGTGCATATATATGGATGTGTGTATGAGTGTGTGTGCGTGGAAGCACACACGCCGAATTAAACTCAAAGTTGTAAACACAGAGATGACTTTTCTCACATAAGAGTTGGCCAAAAAAAAAAAAAAAAAAAAACGAAAGAAAACAGAACAAAAATGTCCTTAAAAAATGTTGTGTACATACTTGTAGTAACAATCTGCAGCGACTATATTACTTATATCTACACACGACTGTAGGTGTTAATGTTTGCATTCTAGTTGGGTCGGCTGATCACTGCGTTGTTTTCCATTCCATTCCAGACGATATCGATTTCGATTCTTGGTAGCTTACCAAATTGTGGCAAACACTACTTTAGTTTTAGTTACATTTTAATTGTACATGTTTTTTTCTTCGAACTCGATTTATGTCAATAAAGAAACACACAACAACAAAAAAACAAAAAAAAAAAAAACAAAAAATAAAAATAAAATATAAAAAATACAAAATGAAATATCTGTTTTTAAATGTTGATGAATTTATTGGAACAGATTACAAATCTCTTATTGCAGCTCTGGCTTGTGTTAATATTTGTTTCAAAACTGATTTGCAGCTTTCATTGTTAATAAATGTTCAAGGTTCGTTTGTTGAAAGCCAATTCTTGTTTTTATACCCTGTACCCGTAGGGTAAAAAGGGTATCTTAGGTTTGTGCAAAGTATGTAAGTATGTAACAGAAGGAAGCATCTCCGACCCCATTAAGTATATACATATATTCTGAATCAGCACGACAAGAGTAATCGATCTAGACATGCTTGTCCGTCTGTCTGGATGAACGCCTAGATTTCGGAAACGGCTGAGCGTACATAAACCAAACTTGGTATGCAGACGTTCCTAGTCCCTAGTCTATACGAATTTATTTTACTTTTTTGACAGCTCTTTAAGTTGTTCCTCTATTCTGCAGTTTTTTCAATTATGTATGTATGTGGAAAGATCTTTCTCTTCTTACTAGAGAAACTAAAACGAAGTATCTTTCTATTTTAAACCTGGTCATTGGAACTACATAGTGCGGACGGGACTGAACCAACTCTAATTCTTTCCCAAGAAACACCCAGCTAAACTACAAAGCTGAAAAGTATTTGGTTGACGGCAATAACTTAAAGACTTTATAGTCGTGTCGATATAGTTTTAATATTCTAACATATTCTTCACAGAAGTTTCAAGTCTCTGGATTATAAATATTCAATTTTAAGAAAACTAACTACAAGTTTTAGTTGTAATTATATATAGTTTTCTATTTTTAATATAAGCGTAGAATCTGTGCATTCAGATGAGCGCCTTAACAATTCATGTTTACAAATATAAAATAGCCTAACCTACTTTGAAAGTAAAGTTAGCATCGCTCGAAACTTTGCTGATAATTTCATTTGTTTGGTTGACGTTCGAGTACAGGGCAGGGTAGTCGAGTTCTTTCGAAAGTAACGCCCTTTCTAAAGGTATAATACAATAATACCAAAAGTTATCAGAAAGTTATCAATTGAAGTCAAACACTATTGCGCATAGCAGGCTCTGCGATTGATATCTCGTGTCGTTAACGATACTAATTTCTATTTAATTTTATTGCGAAACAGAAAACAAGATTTAAAATTAACAAAAAAAAAAGTAATTTTACTGTGAGACTAAATAATAGAGAGGAAGACTCTGCAAAATGCTGGTTGTGCGACGCTTTCGAAGACTAAAGCCGTTGAAATCTTTGGTGCGCTTTTGTGCTACCGAGCTGATACATAAGGTAAGAACTATGACCGATTTAGAACGGTTCAGAACGGTTCTTCCACTCCCTCCCTCATCCCCGCAGGACACCTTTATAGAGAAGCTGCGCAAGAGTTATGTGGAGGATGAGAAGAGCAATTTGGTGGTGCCAACCTTTAAGAAGGCAATGCTCTTCCCAGACGAAATAGCCATTAAGGATGTTGTTGGGGAGTTCACGTATTTCCAACTCTATGTAACTGCCAAGAAGCTTTCGATACAAATTTCCAATATTTGCGGTAATTAATGACAAACTCGTATGTTCTGATCATTTATTTTTATTGTGGATCACACATTTCAGGCAGCGCCTCACAATCGAACGTTGTCTTTCTGAGTCCCAACAACGCCATGTGGCTGATTATCCAGTGGGGTATATGGATATCGGGACAGGTGGCCGTACCTGTAGATCAGAACGGACCTCATGACCAGCTACGTCGTCAGGCCGAGAATTGTAAGACTAAACTGATAATAGGAACACCCGAGTGCGAGGTTACCGTTCAGGAGCTGGCCCAAGTCCTAGAGACGGCCATTATAATAGTGGATCATGATTTTGTGCCAACATTGGAGAGCGTCTCCTCGACCACGGTGTATGCCAAGCAGCTGGTGGGCACCAAAGGCACAGTCTTAACCGAAAGCACCCTACCCAATGAGTTCTATGCCAAGTCCTCGGCCATGCTGCTCTACACCCCGGACTGCTCCAACAATCAAAAGGCTGTGGTCCTTACCCATCGGAATGTTGATGCCCAGCAACGTTCCCTCATTGCCAGCTGGCGTCTGCGTGCCGGCGACTGCCTCTTCCCCCTCATCTCCATTAATCGCATGCAGGCCGCCTTCGGGGCACTCCTTAGCATTGGCGGTAATCTGATATTGCAGCAGAATTTCGATAGCCACACGGCCTGGAGCGCCTTGTTGGGCATCAATAGTCCCTGTAAGCAGCGAGTGTCCCTGTTTATGGCCATGCCCATCATCTATAAGCAACTGATAGCCGAATATGATAAGATGTTTGCGCAGGATCAGCGCATGGTGGAGTATATTATGAATCATTGCAAGACTAAGATCCGCCTTATGGGTACCGCCTTTGCTCTGCTGCCGGATCCGGTCTTTCATCGCTGGCGTGAGATCACAGGGCAGAATATTTACGAGTTTTATGGCATGCTAGAGACGGGTCTGGTGCTGGGACACCCCATCAAGGAGCATTGCGAGACCGATCCACCATCCACCGCCACCGCAGCAACGGCAGCTCCGGCGCCAGCTCCGGCAGCCTCGGCACCCGTGCCAGCTGTCGAGTATCGTCCGGGCAGCTTGGGCTTACCTTTGCCGGGCGTATCGGTGCGTCTGATGGACAACAGTGGTAAGACTCTGATAAAACGCCAGAGCTTGCTGAACGATCTGAAGAGCGACGGCACAGCCGCTTCACCTTCACCGAAAGAGCCGCCGACCTGTGAGGAGGAGAATCCGTTGCCATCACAGCTCGTTAATGCGGCCATTGGGGAGCTACAAATAGCGGGCGATGGCGTTTCCTCAAACTATCTCAATCAGAGTGATAATACCGAAAAATTGGCAGACGGATTCTTTAAGACTAACGATATCTGTGCCTATCAAAACGGTGGCTTCCAGTTTCTGAGCAAATCGAACGATGTATTCACCGTTGGAGGCTACAAAATTTACGGTTCGGAAATTAAAAAGGTTCTCATCACACATCCCAGCATTAAGGATGTGGCCGTCCTGGGTATACCAAATAAACTATGGGGTCATCGTCTGGGCGTCATTTGCATTGTCTCCCCAGATGCGAATCTCGATCTGGATAGCATTAAGAGCTATTGCTATCGCCAATTGCCAGTGCATAAGCGACCGACTGTTTTCAAGACAATTGTATCCAAATAGTAGGACTCTAACCACACCAACCCATACCCTCCCCCAACCCCCCACCCCTCCCAAATGAATACTTTTAAATTTTTGTGTTATTTTTAAAAGATTTTATGAATATACTTGTGTAACAACGATTTTTCTACCACACATGATAAATGCAAGCTGTTATGATATTAAGAGATTCTCAGCAGTGCGACCGACCTTGCCCCCCAATTTCCACAATTTTCGAGTGGTTTCCATGTGGTGTGCTTAGGTAATAAAAAAACAAATCAAGACAGAGCGCTACAGTCAAGCAAGCCCGACAGTGAAATACTCTGTAGCCAGACAAACTTCTGCCCCTAACAGAAGCAAAAAGAAGAAGGAGAGCCAACTTGTAAAACTTTGAGTAGAAAGGTAGATAATTGTATAGGATTACGAGTGCAGTTTGGTTTATGTAGCGTTTGAAATGTGGACATTATTGATGAAATTCTGTAGCGTGAGAAATCAAAAAAATAAAATAAACTCGAGATGTATAGCGCCTTCTAGGCGTGCACATACCAAGTTTTACTAATGTGCGCTCAGCCGTTTCCAAAATCCAGGCGTTCATACAGACGCACAGACGGACGGACGGACATGTCTCGAACGATTTCTCTCGTCAGGCTGATCAAGAATATATATACTTGATGGGGTCGGAGATGCTTCCTTCTGTATGTTACATAAACTTTGCACAAACCTAATATACCCTATTTACCCTACGAGTACAGGGTATAAAAAGAAGAAGAAGAGCCAACTTGATGCTGTAGTTTGTAGGCAGTGGTGCTGGAGTAAAATTGTTTCGCCAGAATTAATTGATTAGGATGAAATTTGAAAGAAAGGTAGATAATTGTATAGGATTACGTGTGCAGTTTGGTTTATGTAGCGTTTGAAATGGGGACAGTATTGATGAAATTCTGTAGCGTGAGAGGAAGGTGGGGAATCAAAAAAATAAAATAAACTCGAGTTTTATAGAGCCTAGAAGCGTCCACATACCAAGTTTTACTAATGTGCGCTCAGTCGTTTTAAAAATCCAGGCGTTCATACAGACGGACATGTCTCGAACGATTGATCTCTTCATGATGATTAAGAATATACACCTAATTCTGTTTTACACGGTCTTCTTTTACACGATTTTCATATAACACGGTTTGAAAATTAAAAATTGCATATATATTTCTTTAGAGATAAGGAACTACTCCCCTATTTTTGCATATTATCAATGTCTTTGCTTATACGTTTGTTTGTGGAACCAATCTACCGTGTATAAACAGAATTAGGTGTATATATTTTATGGGGTCGAAGAAGGGGGCATCTTCTACCTGTTACATACATTCGCTCAAAACTTGTATACCCTTTTGCCCTACGCGTACAAGGTATAAAAACTAGTGCCAATTAAAATAGCTTAAGCGCTTGTATAACTAGATGGGTATGTAGATGGGTATGTACACATGTATAAGTACATAGTAGTATGTCTATCGTCATTACATTTCGGCTTAGCCAAGCACTTACAGCGCTGGAAGCCGCCAAATCCAAGCCTAAAAGCCAGCGTTAATGAAAATGCTTATGCTGCATCGACTAGTGGCGGGGTGGCGGGGTGGCGGAGTGGCGGGAGGGTCGGAGTGTCGAAGTGTCGGTTACCGGCCGCTTTCACCTGCATCGAAAGTGTGGCATTTATTACTTATGTGGAGTGAGGTAAACAGTTGGGAGGTCTAGTCAGTCCGAATCAGTTGGTCAGCCGCGAGAAACGTGTAGAGTTGAGATTTCAGTTTTTACTTGTTGCGATGGATCGGCCAAAGTATAAGTTTCCTTATGATATATACGATGTCGTTGGGGCTACCAATGCGGAGCTTTTGCAATATTTTCACGGTTTGTTTGACCCAAAAAAAGAAAGAAGAAGACATACTATATATTCTCATTTCGATTTCAGGTGAACGCGATGGTTTTGTGCAGGTTGGACCTGAACGTTACTTTTTTCCCGGCAAATATAGAGCTGAGGCGGAAAATTATTACAACTTTGAGGCGAGGCCCGACGATATCTGGATAGTTACCGTGCCACGTTCGGGCACTACTTGGACTCAGGAGCTCATCTGGCTTGTGGCCAACGATTTGAACTTCGAGCAGGCCAAGCATCGTCCGTTAACCGAACGTTTTCCATTTTTCGAGTAAGCGCTAACTGTAGGGAACTAAAGGAAGACTATTTGTAGAGGGTAGAACAATTCAAGCTGCTGATATTTATACCCTGTACCCGGTATATTAGGTTTGTGCAAAGTATGTAACAGGCAGAAGGACCGACCCCATAAAGTGAAGCATGACGAGAGAATTCTAATAAGACATGTCCGTCCGTCTGTCCCGGATTTCGGAATGGACCCGCTCCCTCATTAACCAAACTTTCTAGTCCCTAGCCAACACAAGTATATTTTATTTTTTTGATTAATGAAAATGTTGGGGTGCAGACTGTCTTTAATCTTTTATTAAAAATTGTTTAATATTTCCTTGCAGATTTCCACTGTTCATGCATGCTGCTGTCAAGGCTGAGCTTTTGGCAGAAAACAAACAGTCCACATTTGCTCAGGAATTTATTGAGCAAATCTCTAGACCCGGTTACCAGACCCTAGCCGAGCTGCCACACAATCAGCGTCGTTTCATCAAAACCCATTTCCCGTTCTCACTGTTGCCACCAAGTGTAATGGAAAATAAGTGCAAGGTTCGAACTGGAAACAGACCTCAATTCCGTTTCCGTTTCCGCATTCGAAATTGTTGAATTCTTCAAATGTCGAAGAACTAAAAACTAACTTGTTTTTCAAAATGAAATGGTTTTTAGAAATGTCCTCAATCGAATTCCGAAACGGCTGCAGGCCTGGTGGAGATAATTATTTCGACAGGGAAGTGTGCCTATAAGCTATATTTTCACCCGATTTGCAGATCATTTACGTCGCACGCAATCCCAAGGATGTGGCTGTCTCGTATTATCATCTCAATCGTCTGTTTCGCACGCAGGGCTATGTGGGGGATTTTGAGCGCTATTGGCGTTACTTTCAGCATGGCCTAAGTAACTATTTGGAAATAATAATTTATAGCGCCAGACTAAGCTTATTTGCATTACAGATCCCTGGCTGCCCTATTATAGTCACATACGGGAGGCGGACGAGCACAGGAAACTGTCCAATGTCCTCTTCCTTAACTACGAGGACATGCTGCTGAACCTGTCGGGTGCTGTAAATGGAATCGCAAACTTTCTCAATTGCGAGCTCAGTGCAGCGGGTCTGGAACAGCTTTTGGATCATCTGAGCATAGAAAACTTTCGCGAAAATAAGTCCGTCAATATGCACGAAATGGCCGCCGTTGGGATCCTCAAGAAGGGCGAGGCCGGTTTTGTGCGCAGCGGTGGTGGCAGTGGCAACAAGGATCACAAGGACATCCCCGACAGGCAGAACGGCGATCAGAAGGAGTTCATTAAAGACCCCAAGCTACTAGCCAGTGCCAATGAATGGGTTCGACAAAACTCAACATTTATTAAAACCATATAGACATGCGAAATCAAATACTAATTACTTCAGTTATAGAGAAATCCAAAATATCTGAATAAACAATTTTAAGCGATATGTACGAGGTCCTCAAAAATTTCATTAAGCAACTTGGAGATCAGAACAAATGGAGTGAAATGGAGAAATCCCAAGTAGGCTATCACCGATTTTTCATTTCAAATATCATTTTTCTTTTAAGCTTTATTCCTTAATAAAATAAAGACTAATACCGTCTCTTTTTAAAGTGGTTTGTATTTTTTTTCTGGTTTTTTATTCAAAATTTCAAATGTCTTTTTGAAACAGGCAAGACTAAAAAAGTTTTAAAAAAGCCTTATAAGGTAGGAAAGCCTAAGAATGTAGAAGAACTCTAATAAATAAATACTTAAAATATCTAATAAAAAACAAGAAAGGAATGCTAAAGTCGAGCAGGCTCAACTCTGAAATACCCTGTACTACCCCACAAAAAAGTAATTAAATGAATTAATTAATTAAATTTAATTAATTAACTAAATTAATTTAATTAATAACCTAAATTAAATATAAAATATTCCATGCATGCATACATTTACATCAGAATCGTGCCTTATGCGTGTTTGTGTACTTGTACATATGTATGTATGTGTGCATTGGGCCTAGTTATATGGCTATAACTTTCTTTCCAATCATTCTATCATAATGAGACTTGCTATACGGTTATATAATAACTAACCTAATGTGACTACCAAATTTTAAAATTCCAAGAATTACGGGAGTTATAGAAAATCGTTAATAGGGGGGAGTGGGGGGGTGGATCAGAAAAAATGAACAAACTCGTCCTTTCTCGGTCTCAGGAGAATCTGTATACCAAGTTTGGTTATTCAAGCTCTTATACTTTCGGAGATCCTTGCGTTCATACAGACAGACAGACGGACAGACAGACGGACAGACGGACAGACGGTCAGACGGACAGACGGACATGGCTATATCGACTCGGCTTGTCATGCTGATCAAGAATATATATACTTTGTGGGGTCTACCAAGCATCCTTCTGTGTGTTCCATGTGTACTCGCACAAAACTAATATACCCTTGTACCCTTTGGGTACAGGGTATAAAAATGAAAACTGAAAAATTTAACAGAGAAAGAGTCTTAGTATTAGATAAAAGCCTAATTTAAAAAATAAAAAAAATATGTAAAAAGGTGGAGGGGAAATGGAATCTCAGACACCGTTGGGGGAAAGACTTATAATAGTACCTTATAGTTTCCGATTTAGATACATCATTGTAGTTCTGTAATACGGGTATGTATTTATTTTCTGTTTATTTTGCAAAAAAAATATCACTGCTTATTCGCTGGAGTTATTAATGGTCGCCCATCGAAGAGCACTCTTTCTGGTTAAACTTTTGTTTTTGTAATGTGTTATGCATGTTATTTTTATCGAAGCGAAAAAAAGTACTAAATAAAGGTACATACTAGGATGGATTTACCCTAGAATTAGTGCCAATTTCTTATTTAAACAGAAGAAACAGAAATGTTCACTTCATTAAACTTGTGCAGTCTTTTCGGTGTATGAAGAGTGGCTTTTCTTCTGAGAACGTATGATTGGGCCTACATTGGTTTACAATTCTCAAGATCCCCCAGTACAAATATATTTCATACTTTCAAACTCTTTAGTATACCCTTTCAGCTTTCCAGAACAAAATTTAAAAATAAAGTTATAACAATTTTAAGAAGTTCAACATGGTCTGTACTTATGGACCTTTGAAGAAAAAGAAGGCAATACAAAATCTTACTTCCTTCTTACGGTGTATAAAGAGATTGGGCCTAAAACGAATGGTTTCTCTCAATAACATATGATTTCTTGATTTACATTGGTTTACAATTCCCAAGACCTCCGCCATTTGGAATCGTGAACTACAAGAATTTATTTCATACTTTCAAACTCTTTACTATATCTTTTTAGCCTTCCAGTATAAAATGTAAAAATAAGTCTAATCAATTTTAAGAAATTCGACTTGGTCTCTACTTATGGACCTTTGGCCTTTTGCGCCACGCGATGTATTCGTTTTGGAGCCTACATCTGCGTAGTCCCACTTGAGAGCCCTCTCCAATTATTATATGTAATTATCTTCTAAGAGTTGGAATGCATATTCCGACATTATTTCAAAGATTCGGAATTTTTCGAAATTGGGAACAGCTGTGGATGCATTCGGTCGGGGGCTGCATCGCACGTGCTTATCAATCCAGTAGTCTGTTACAACATGCCAGCATCAACAATAGCATTGACAGCATTGACATAAATACTTTCGGGCAACAACCTTTTCGGAAATTCGACAAATTCCTTGAGGCGGCTCAGTGTATGGCAAGAGGAACGGCTGGTTAGGCTGCATCCCGGCAGGTCTCTGGACACCAGTGGCAAGTTGTCGGCTGTCCAAATGGAAATGTTGGGGGCACTTCTCATGCCAAAGTTCCCGCCCAATGATAGGTACATGCTGGGCTGGACAAGATCTTCATTGGGCTACTTCGACGAGGACTCTTTGTTGATGATGCTCGTCCTCTTCATTTTTGCACAGCTACTCATATTGATCTACATATTCCTAGCATGTTTCCAGCTCAGCACGCTACATCGCAAGCATTTCAATGAGAAGAGACGCCGTCAGTTTGCCAATTTCATCTTTAGGCGATTGCTGATGCAGCTGGAGAGAGCAGTAGGACAGTGCCGGAAGGAGCTGAGTGAGAAGGTGCAGGGGTGCAAGGACACTTTAGATAGTTGTACCCGCTGGCAGATCGATGTACTCGAGGCGATCAATTTGTTTCGACGCGATGCCACAAAAGTTCTGTATCCGAAGCACGAGCTCCACACTCTAGCCACCAGTTGTGCCTATTTCGTTCTGGAAGAGGAGGACCAGGAGTTGCAAGATGCTGGCTATGCCACTGTCAATGTTGAAATGGATGACGCCTTTCTCAGGCGACTGCTTCATGGAAGCGTAATGTCTTAAATGAGTTGTCCGATAAAGAATAAAACTAGTGCTGCCCGTTAAATAGGAAAAAAGTGAAATTAAATATTGACAGTGTGAATATGGAATAACCGCTAGAAATAATGCCAAGGAGAGTATGTGAAAACACTATATGAAATACTTTAGAGACGTTCTCTTAAGGTTTTACACATTTCTGATCCAGCTATATAGAAAATGAATTGTGTGTTGGGCAGTAGGTTGTCAGGGAAGACCTCTCTCTTGAGCGAGCTCTCGGCAATATCCAAGCTGGAGGTCATGTTCATTCCGAACCCCATCTAGTTTCCCTACATGGACCTTTTCTGGCCGAAGAGAACGGTTGATTTAACGCATCTGAACCACACTTTACCTATCTTTTTTTTAGTGAGGAGGGGATTTATTCCGAGCTGACATCACAGAGAGGTATGTAGAAGTCCTAACCACTAAAACCCTTCCTTCTAGGACTGTTTTCCACTCTGGAACTTCTTTGGCATTACTTCGGAGTGGAGTCCTATCCATCCTATCAAGCGTTCACCTCGGAAACTAGCCGAGCTCTCCATCTCCCAGTGGTCACTTGGACCCATTGGGTTTGCCACTGCTGCATTGAACACTGTCTCGCTACAGCTCTATTAATGGGTCGGACATCCGTTTGCCTGCTTATCCATATTCGTCTTCTTTCCATGGCTTTACCTTAACATAACTTAATTTAATCTAACCTAACTTGACCATAGCCTCGCCCTATGTTTTTTTAGCCTAACCTTATCCCACCTGACATAACCTAAGCCCATGTAGCCTAACCGGTCTATCTGGAATCGAAGACTGCAATAACGCCGCTATATGAGCTCGTTTACTTGAATGCCAAAAAAATGTGTATACCCTAACAGAACTTAATTTAATATGAGCCTAACCTAGACCATAGCCTCGCCCTATGTTTTTTAGCCTAACCTTATCCCACTTGACATAACCTAAGCCCATGTAGCCTAACCGGTCTATTTGGAATCGAAGACTGCAATAACGCCGCTATATGAGCTCGTTTACTTGAATGCCAAAAAAATGTGTATACCCTAACAGAACTTAATTTAATATAAGCCTAACCTAACTTGACCATAGCTTCGCCCTATCGTTTTTAGCCTAACCTAATCCCTCCTAACATAACCTAAGCCCATGTAGCTTAACCGGTCTCTGTGGAATCAATGACTGAAACAACGCCGCTATATGAGCTCGCTTACTTACTTGAATGCCAAACAACTTTTTATATATTTTTATGAAAATGAAATGATCAACATTTCCAGAGATTGTAGGGTAATATGTCAGAGACGCCTGTACTACTAATATACATCATGGCTTATAGAAACAAATACTTGTTTAAATTTTCTTAATTGTAGTTTATTGTGATTGAACTTTGATAAATTCGGACTATTACTGGGTGAGTGGTGTTTTAGGTCTATTATGTGTTTAACTCGCCCCCAGCTTGCTCCAGGTCCGTGTCCATAAGTAATCTATCTTGCATATGCATTTGCGTTAGCCGCTGTTTGTTTCGCCAACTGTTTCTTTGCTTCTCGCCGCAAACGCTCCCGTTCATACCTAATCAGATCTCGCAACTGCTTGTCCCAGCCAATGGCCTTCGTTAGCTCCGTAATACCATCATCGCATTCACCTTGGTAGACGACATCCCGTGTGTTGGATGCTTGGCCATAATGCACCGGAGATTCACCGGTGAATTCTTTTTTCGCTGGATCCGTGTCGATTATAAGTCGCAGACAGCGGGGACTGACACATTTAAGTAGTGTGGTATATGGTTCGACATTATAATTGGCGCCCATAATAATCAATAGATCGCATTCGGCAAAGTCTACTTCGGGACAGGTGCGAAAAACGGGGGGCAATGGCTGATCTGAGTAGACGATATCGGGCCGAACGATATTTCTGCAGTATTCACATCTGGGTACATCTTGAACTGCCAACTGTTCGCGCAACCAGTCGTGGGAATAAAACTTCCGGCACTGCGTACAATGACAGTTAAAGATGGCACCATATTGTGCGAGTACTTTTAAATGCGGCACCCCAGCCATATGCTCGAGGGCATCGACATTGGCGGTGTAGTGACGGACAAGGAGGCCTTTTTCGTGTAGGAGGCGCAAGAAATAGTGGGACATGGTGGGGACAAAATTACCGGAGCAGAGATCCTTGGCCAGCGCAAAGAACGGGCGCGGATTGTGCTTAAAAAATTCGCGATCAAACACGCTCTTTGCATTGGGAAGCTCATATCTCTGCAGCCATTGGTCAAGGGCAGGGGATGATTCTTGGAAATCGGGCAAGCCGGCGGCTCGTGTGATACCCGCACCCGCTATAGTGACAATATTCTCGAATCCAAATCGACGCCAATGCTCAGCCAAGCCATCTAGCGTTAGATTTGTAATGACACGATCCTCCTGCGGTCTCTGGGCAATGGCCGGTGGTATCGATCCGCAAATGGATCTGGGTGGCTGTTTGGGTGTGTTCCGGTCGGAGTTTATCCAGCCGCCAAATGTTTTCGATACAAGATGTCTTAGTCTGCCCAAGCCACTGTAGTCCACACTATGCTTGAATTTTTTGAATCTGGACTCCTTACGCTTCTCGGTTTGGACACTGCTTTCGGTGACGCTCTCCATCTCCTCCATATCGGTGCCTGTCTGTGTGACACCATCGGGCTCCGAGTCGTCATTGGATTCGGTAACGGCGGCATTCAGATCATTCCGTGTTGAACACTTTGCCGGAGCAATGGGGTCTAGTGGGGTGGTATTGGGCGCCTCACAGCTCGGTCTAGCGGACGAGAAACCAGCTTGATCGTGTCCGCTGGCAATGGGACCAACATTCACATTCACATTCAAATTTGCTTCAGTGGCAACCGCCTTGCAGCTGCTGCTGGCGACATTATCGTTGGTATCACACATCTTGGCCAGTCCGAGATGTAAGTGCGCCTGAGCCTGAGCTGCGTGAAATTAAAATTGCATGTGTACTGAAAATTTTGAACTTGAATTTTAGGCTTTGCCTAAAATATTTTCTATGTTTTTAACTAATCTGTGTGTTCGTGTCCGTGTATGTCTGTAATGAATAATATGAACTGAATGGGATAATGATTTTAAATGCAAAACTTACTATGTTTTTTAGGGAAGCCAGAGTAAAACATTTTACTCGTATACAATTTGAGAATATTTAATTTTACATAATTTACGCAAATACACGTATAGAATAAATTTTGTTTCATTATATAGTTGACTCTGACACTAAAATGAAACTAGACTCTGTTGTTGTACACATATATACTTATGTATTTACATAATTACTTGCACTCATACACAAAACCAATTAGAGACTACGTTATCAACGGGGGTTATACTCGTATTAACATTAACAGTTGTCTATATATATACATACACATATATTTATAGGGAATTAAAATTAAAAAAAAAAAAATAACTAAATGGGGTTAAAAATCAACACTAGATTTGATTACAATAATGTGAAAATCTCTACATAACTGACAAATGAAACTAAGCTGTGTAGAGAAAGGCAAAAGATTTGAGAATATGGAGTTCTTCTTGACCTGAAGAAACGTTGCGACTTGCACCTTTAAGGTTTCTACTGCACAAAAAAGAAACAGAGAGATAGAGAGAGAGGGAGAGAGAGGGAGACAGTTAAGAGATGTAGGACAGCTGCGGTGAGAAGAGCAAGAATCATGTGAAAATCTCTCCCTAACTGACAAATGAAACTAAGCTGTGTAGGGAAAGGCAAAAGAAGGAGAGCTGAAGAATCGCTATGACTTGCAGGTTTCTTTAAGGCTTGTACCGCAGAAAAATAGAGAGAGAGAGAGAGGACAACAGTTAAGAGATGACTTCGAAAACTGTGTGAGATGAAGAAAGCGCATCTGTACTACTTCTTGAAACATATCTTGAGCATCCGAATGACCGGCGCCTCGAATAGTGCTGACAATACAAAGGCCAAGCCAAAGGAGACGACTGCGTTGCCCAGAAATATGGTCATTAACATCGTATTATTCAAATGGACTGTGCCACTCATGCGCGAGGAGCAAATGAACATGATGATGGGATGAATAAGGTAGGCGCAGTAGGTGAGACGGGACAACGGCCACAGCACCCTACACGACAAAATGCTATTGATTGTGGGCGCCAGGCCCCAGCAGCAGGAGAGCACAATCCAGACTAATCCACAGCCAAAGGCGGTGTGTCCAACGCCCACATAAAAGGCAGTATTTACGGGACTCAGTTCACCCTCCCATACGCCAAAGACCACGACAATCAGCAGGCCCAGACTACCGATCCAAAGCAGTGCATTGAGGCGTGTCGAAATGATTGGCGGTGTCTTAATCTTGTAGAGCACATAGCCAGCAAACATACCTGCGAATGCAAATAGTTATGGATTAAAGAAAAGATTCATTTGATGCCTTGTGTTTAAGGTCTTACCCACGATATAGGCGCCCACACGCTGCCAAGGTTTATCGTATAAAAAGTCAAAGGACTCAAAGGGCAAGGCCACCTTGTGTGTGTACTGATGCTCTAGGGAGATGAGACCCGAAATGGCCCACGAGCTCAGTAAAAATACAATGAGTGTTATCGTCACGGCCTTAAAGTATCTGCAAGTAACCAAATGGATTAGCAACTCAAAATAAATGCCGTTTCAATGTAATTTATTTACTTTCTGGAGAATGCCAGAAGTAAGGCGGCCATCACATAAAACTGCATATCATTGGCCATATACCAGCTCCACATCATGCACATCTCCTTCTGGGGAAAATAGTTGTTGATGTAGAGAATGTTGCGCCACCAGTAGAGGCGGCAGGCGTTGGGGCGCATCATGGGCGGTTGGAATACCGACGCATCCAAACCATGTCTGTTGATCAAAAATTGTGTGGCAGGGCGACACGCGATAGAAGTGAAGCTTAGTGGTTATATTGGAGTAATTTCATTTGAGTTCACTTTTATACTCTCTACATTAAATGTACAATAGTATATGTACATTCTGATTCTGATTTTACACGGTAGATTGCTTCCAGAAACAACCGTGTAAAAAAAGACATTAATCATATGCAAAAATAGGTGATTGGTTCCTTATCTCTAAAGAAATACTTGTGTATGTGCAATTTTTCATTTTCAAACCTGTACGCTTTGCAAGTTTGTTTTATTTTTTGATTCCCCCCCCTTCCCCCCCCCCACTCCCCCCGTTAACGGGATATTTCCGTAAAGTCGTTCGCACGATCACCTATGTATGTATATTTCCGAGACTGTAAGACTGTAGGGACACCCAATTTCATTCCAAGATGCCTTATGTGAGTACGCAGAAAATTTATATTTTAAAATTTCCCATCCTGCCCCCTCTCCTCCCTCTCCTTAGCGATTTTCCATAACTCCCGTAATTCTTAGAATTTCCCTTTAATTAAATTAATTTGTTGATTTATATAAACATTTTGAAAAGTTACAAATGATCAACCAACAATTTTATGTGAGAAAATAAGCACGAAAAAAATACGTATGGCCAGCGCGTGAGCGTATTTACAGTTATTTTGATTCCTTGCTTCCACTTTTATATTCTTAAAGAGAGAGCATTCTGCCTGCAGCTGCAATGCAAGGCTTAGTTTTTCACGACCTGTTGAACGCGTCGCGCCGTTTCTATTTGGAGTTGCCGAAAACTCTCAGAAAATGTTTGATTAATAGTTTAAATATTAGAAAAATTATGTAAATGCATATGTACATATTACAATGTGTGTAAAGTGTGCAAAATATGTGTTTATTAATGTGAGAAAATAAGCACGAAAAAAATACGTATGACAAGCGCGTGGGCGGATTTACAGTTATTTTGATTCCTTGCCTCCACTTTTATGTTCTTAAAGAGAGAGCATTCTGCTTGCAGCTGCAATGCAGTTGCAGAAAAGTCTCAGAAAATGTTTAATTAATAGTTTAAATATTAGAAAAATTATGTAAAAGCATATGTACATATTAAAATGTGTGTAAAGTGTGCAAAATATGTGTTTATTAATGCGAAAATACTTATATGTGTGTATGTATGTGTTCGTGATTTCAAATAATTGCGCAGTGCCTCAATTTTTGTTTTTATTTTTTTAAGTGTTTGTAAATGTGATTCAAAGAAGTAAAGGTGTTCAATTTAAAAATAATTTTTAGTTATAGTAAAGCAATCGCAATTAATCAGTATGAAAATGTAAGTACGCAGCGATTTATATTAATGATGTTTTGTTCATGTACGTATGTATGTACACGTATGAATATAAGAGTGGCCTTACATTAGCAGACAAAATATCACCATAACATAACAGATACACAAAAAAGGAATGAAAAAGGCTCAATTTACAGAACTTGCCGAATGAGCTGTATGTATGTATGTACATACACTAACAGTGGCCTTTATATTAGCAGACAAAATGTCACCATAACATAACAGATACACAAAAAAGGAATGAAAAAGGCTCAATTTACAGAACTTGCCGAATGAGCTGTATGTATGTATGTACATACACTAACAGTGGCCTTTATATTAGCAGACAAAATGTCACCATAACATAACAGATACACACAAAAAAGGAATGAAAAAGGCTCAATTTACAGAACTTGCCGAATGTGTTGTATGTATGTACAAGTATGTACATACACGTATGAATAGCTCTCACTAACAGTGGCCTTTATATTAGCAGACAAAATGTCACCATAACATAACAGATACACACAAAAAAGACTCAATTTACAGAACTTGCCGAATGTGTTGTATAACAGTTTGCTAACTTGCCTACATTTGTGTATTGAGTCTGTTGTATGAAGACATACTTGTACCAACAAGTTAGAGTTTGGGTGGCCGAGCAACCCAACTTGTCGCAAAAGACCAAGAGAGCGCTGTTAGATCAATCAAAAAAGCAGGAGAGCGTACGAGTTCTCTCAAAAAATGTAAGGTAATGAAGTAAGCATGGAAGACGCAATCATAATTAATAAATAATTGGCAAGTCGAGACGATTCCTTTTGTCAGGTTTTTGCACAATTAAAGAAATTACTATTACTAATTATAGACATAAAACACCTAGATCTCAGAGACTATAAGAGCTAGAGATATCAAATTGCACTATAGCTCTATGCTGGAATGGTAGTAAACTCAACAAAAAGTTGGAAATCCAGCTAAAAATTGGTAGAATATGCTGGAAAATGGAAACAAACCCGCTATAAATAGATAGAAATTGGATAGAAAAGTCCGGTAAGAAGAACCGATAGAAAATTAATTAAAAATTGATAGAAAAACTGCTATAAATACTTTTAAAACCCGTTTAAAAATTGATAGAAAACCCCCTGTCACCGATAGTTTTCGATCCACCTTTCAAAGCCTCAGAAATATTCTTAGAGTCCGCCGAAAATCACACAACCGTGCAGTTGGATTTGTTACAGAAAAGGTTGCCAAGACAGCAGACAAAATCCTCACATAAGAAGTTTCGTTTCAAAATCAAATCGTACATTTGGAAGTATTGGCACAGTATTGATGAGCACTACTTGTATATATGTACATATATAACCAACTCACCTAACTGCAAAGTCAGTGAAGAGTACGACAAAAAGATAGACGGGTGTAAGGCGCAGATAACGATATAGGAGCATCATCAGAGTGTCGAGACAAGTTCGCTGTATGAAGGCATCGGGCTTTGCGGGATGCTTGCGTTCTTGCTTCAGATACAACAATGTTACCAGCAGGCCGCTGATGAAGAAGAAAGAGTCCACAGAGAATGTGGCATTGCCTATGACTTGATACCACACAGAACGTTCGGTGATGACGCGTTCAAACTGCAAGATCACAAATATTCATAATTGACTATACTTGGAAGGGAGATCAATACTACTTTATTCTCGCCAATGGCAAATATTTGTAAATATGTATGCACCATCATGGTCCAAAGCACAGAGAATACGCGCAATCCATGCAAACAAGATGTATACGACTGAAAAATTGAAATGCATGAAGATCAGATACGAGTACAATATTTATGATTAACCCACCTCCTTGGTTTTCTCAATGTTGAGTATGGTCTTGGCATTTGTTTGAAACGCAAAGCACAATAAAATTTGCTGATGTAGAGCTGTATTATGTAATTAGATAAGATGATATGTAATAAGTTCAGTTAAGTAAGAGACAAGAGTGCTAACCTATGGGCTGCTCCGCTTCGTAAGTGCCAGCGACGCCAGTGCAGCTGCCGGTCTCCACTTGATAGTCTGTCATCTCAGTCTTTTCGTGACGCTTCACCGCTTGGCCACTGACGACCGGAACTGGTCCAGCCCCAGTTTCTGCTGGCAAGGATTCCGTTGTGACACTTTCCTGTGCTGTGCCACGCTGCCTGTTACCATTCACATCCATGTCCAGGACATTGTCTGAGCTCACAATCCCGTTACTGCCGAGCGGACGCATTTGAAAGAGCTCAAAAGGTTTGCCATAGTAGGACTCATAGTCTCCGCTCTTAGTTGGCATGTCGCATTTCGCACTGATGGCCGGTATGGGGGCTGCGACTAGACGACGCTCATCGATCTTAAGCTGATACCAGCTGGCCAGGATCACGATCAGCAATAGTGTCAAAAGAAAGCTTCTGCAGGGCAAATAATAGAGCTCATTAAATACGTTTACGCTTGCCATGCTATCTTCTTACTCACATGAACACTTGAAATTTCAACTCGCGCCAGTAACTATAGAGGCCCGGCACGGTGCGCACCTGAAGCACCTGCACGGGTGGCTGCTGGACGGAGGCGTTGTGTGCCCCCAGAACGGTGAGCATACGGGCATAGGGATCCAACGCCAGTATAGATTTCACATCATGGGCCGAACATGATTTCGGCAGGCACTCACCCAAGCTCAGCAACAGCTGCTGCAATGAAAGTTATATTTTTAAAAGGAGGGATTCATTAGAAGTAAGAACCAATGAATACGTTCTAAGAAGTCGAAGGTTCCTTCCATTTACTTAGCACAAAACTTAACTAAGCACTTTGTAAATCTGTGTCTATAAATCACAAACGAAGAAATCCAAAGAAACCCTAAAAAATACTAAGACACCTTAAGAATTCCCAACCAATCATATAATCCACAAGAATCCATTCTATGCTTCTGTTCCGGAGCAGCTTTTGCTCCATAATTTGTTTAGTATACGATTTTATAGGCCTGTAGCTCTCAATAAAATCCACAAGAATCCGTACAATGCTCCTGATTCGGAGCGTTTTTTGCTCCACCATTTATTCAGAACAATATTTTATAGCTCTCAATAAAAGTTCCTAAGTCAAGAACGCGAATTATTACCAAAAGATGAAAACAGTTGATGTAGAAACTGTCGCAGAAGAATGTAGTTGGAGCATCTTTAGTCAAAGCAACAGATCAACCAAGAAAAGAAAATCTCATTTGGGTACGATAGGGAGGGCTCTTCTCACAGAATTTCTCAAACGAAAAGTTTCTAAGTTAATAATCCGAATTAGTTAACAAAAGATGAAAGTGTGTATGAAAGTAGAAACTGTCCGAGAAGAATGTAATCAGAGCATCTTCAGTCAATAAATCGACAGATCAACCAAGAATTGGTGTCTTAAACAACCCCAATGAGATAAGAAAGGAAGAGCACTTCTCACTGTTATTTTGTCCTTCAACTTACCGATCTATTGAGCTTAGGTAGATGTAGCACAATGTTAGCCACAAAGAATTCCAGCTCGAAGTGCTTGCGTTCGCCGCTGCTGGGCTGTTGTCGATTCAGTTCATGGCAGAAGGGTAACTGGCCCAGCCACTTGTCATTGCCAAAGAATAATTGGCCACGATAGCGTCCCGAAGCATCGTAGGCTAAAAGAGTTATAGTTAGAACATTTATGCTTCAGACATTAAAGGCATTAAAGTGCCACAGAACTTGCCTCGTTGTGCCCACTCGTAGCTGGCATGAAGGGCCGTGAGATAGGCCTGCATCTCGAGACCGCATCCGGTGCGGACATTGGTGCGAATTTCGGCAATTTGCCAGTAGAAATGATCGAAGAGGTTCGTTACGATTTGGAAATAGTTGGCCGAACCATATAAGCTCTCCGCATTGGATGTGTTGAGGCTGGCCGTCGAGTTGTTGCCCAAATAGCGACTGATGCTGTTAATGGTGCTTCCCAAGGTCTTCAGTTGCATATCATCTTCAGATTGTTGCTGCTTGAGCAGCTCACGCCCCTTTTTGGCGGGCTTGTTGCGTAATATTTTCAATATGTGAGTATCTGGGGCTGTTGTCGTTGTTGTTGTTGTTGTCCTTGTCGATATGGCTTCTTCAGTTGTGCTGAGCACCTCTAGGGTTGGTATTGAGACCGTAGGAAGCTCCGTTAAACCGTCATCTGGATTATTGGGCTTGTAACTAATCTCAGCCGCCTCATCGATGTGCAATAGATGCTGTTCCTCACTGCTGAGATCCCCCTTCTTAATGGTCTCATGTTCCAGATCCTCCAGATCACCCAAATTGAAATCAAATGTCACCGGATGCAGCTCGAACTCCTTTAATGGCTGCTGCGGCTTCACATACTCTAGGTTGCTCGTCGCCGTCTTCTCCAGCGGCCTGTAGGTCTTCTTCTTAAAGGGCTTCAACGGCAACACTTCGTGCGTATTCAACGTGATCGGTGGCTCCTCATTATTGACTTCGTGCAATATGGTTATGTTGTTGCGACTCGTGAAGCGATGCGGTGCGAATTCTCGATCTGTGACAGTTCGTGTTGTTGTTGCTGCTACACGAGTCCTGTTTTCCACAGCCATGCTGCTTGGCAGCCCAAACAGCAGAACACACACAACACTCGATAGTATTACAATTCTCCATTGTATCACACATGCATGGCCATCAGCTGGGAGCACGCTCATTAACATATTGTGTTCGGCTTCCTCTTAATGGTGCTGCTGCTCAATCTACTATTTAAGGTCTTGCTTTCAACGTTTTAGCATTTTCTTAAGTCCCAGTTCTGCGCTCGCCTTGGGTTCTCATCGTTCCACTGGGTCCAGACTGTTTTCGAATGTATAGGGCTTGGCTTAAGAACTGTCGAAATAAACTTGCATTATTAACAAGTGGGTAAGAATGTGGGGTTAGTTGTACAGCTTTCTTAAGATGCTACTAAGTGTGCATTCTAAAACAAATTTCAAACAACTTTAACTAACGTGAATTGCAATATGAGCTTTGCTTTAAGGACTGTGGAAAAAAAATTTATATTTTCATATTTAATTCAATATTCTATTATTTCGTATTTAAATCAAATATAATTAACATAAATTTAACTGAAAACATATTCAGTTACTGATTAACATATGAATAATATTCAAAACAGAGTCTAAATCTTTGATCAATTTATATTTAATTATTATAATGATAATTATAACGCATCCACGTCAAATTACAAATGGTTTTTAAATTTTAATATTATCCCAACTTTAACTTGAAGTTTATTGTAGTTGATTGATATTTTCCAGAAATATATTGCCTTTTAAATTTTGTAAAAGTTAAGTCGAATATTTTTTCAAATGTTAAATATAAACAGACATTGACGAGAATTACCAAGTCTGTTTTAAAATCCATTGACATACTCATACAAGTATATATTCGTGAAGTATGTGTCAAGTAAGTATTCAATAATTTATTTCTCACTGACTTTTAATATCATCCTAAGTTTTAAATAGCGAATAACGTCAATAGTTATAAATAACAAAAAATATTGGAAAATTATTTTCCAAATAAATAAATATGATGTGCATTTACAAAATATATCTTTATTAAAATCATTTAATACTGTTGTTAGAGTAAGAGTAGACAAAAAAGTGGGGAAAATATTGTATAATTATAAAAAAAAAGTTTTACGTGAATATTTTATGTATATTTTTTTTTAATAACTCGAAATTTAAGTGCGCACAATATACATCAGACATAATAGAACACATGATCTTTAAATCTACGTGTGTTTGTACTTGCTGTAAATCTACAATTTTGAAAAACCTTAAAAAAAATTGAAAATCTATTTTCACTTTAACTTTAAGCGATTTAAGCACCATCGAAGCGGACTTGTATTATTCACTTAACACAATTTTTTAAATCTATTTTCACTTTTCACTTAAAGGAATCAACTGGTAAAGCTATAATTTTGGAAAACGTAAAAAAAATGTGAAAATCTTTTTTCACTTTAACTTTAAGCGATCAATTGGGTTGGAGTATGGGGCTTGATTTAAGCACCATCGAAGCGGACTTGTATTATTCACTTAACACAATTTTTTAAATCTATTTTCACTTTTAACTTAAAGGAATCAACTGGGTTGGAGTACGCGACGCCGAAGCGAATCAGAATCTAAGAATGTTGGACTAGTTATAAAGCTATAATTATACTCTGTACATGAAATGTACAAGAGTATATTAGGTTTGCGGGAGCTGAAAAATGTAACAGGCAGAAGGAGGCGTGGCAGACCCCACAAAGTATATATATTCTTGATCAGCATGACGAGACGAGTCGATCTAGCCCTGTCTGTCTGTCTGTCCGTCTGTCCGTCCGTATGAACACCTGGATCTCAGAGACTATAAGAGATAGAGACACCAAATTTTGCACAAAGATGCGTTATGTGTGTATTCTATACGAGTTTGTTTTATTTTTTTGATTTTCCCCCCCACTTCCCCCCTATGGGGGTTTTCCCGATTTTCCATTCGTATAATCGCCTATATCTCGGAGACTATAAGACCTAGGAACACCAAATTTTAGTTCCAGATGCCTTATGTGAATACGCAGAAAATGTATATTTTGGAATTCCCCTCCCTCCCCCCTCTACCCCGCAAATCGTAACTCCCGTAATTCTTGGAATTTCGAACTAAAACTTTGGAAATACCCCCAGTTAGTTATTATGTGTCCGTATGCCAAATTTCATTATGATAGACCGATTTAACAAGAAGTTATAGCCATAAATATATTTGCTGATGCAGCGCTGCTGCAGCGCTGCTCAAGCGCTGCCCGCGGCTGTTGTTGATGTTGCTGTTTGGTTGACTGCGAAAATGCTTACACAGACACGAATTGATGCGCATAGGCATACATACACTCACACAAACGCAATTGCTATGTAAATGTGCAATTATACACCCTTTACGTGAGTTCGAATACCGAGAGAGGTAAAATCGATCAAATTTTTTTTTTTATTTTCTTAATTTTTTTTATTTTCTATAATTATTGTAAACATATGTACAGAGTATTTCAAAGTCGGGACACCCGACTTTAGCTTTTTTACTTGTTTTGAAAAACGTTTGTGGAACTTAAAAATTGTTTCTTGCATCTATTTTCTCTTTAACGTTAAGGGTCGAAGCGGACTTGTATTATTCGGAATCGAAGAATATTGGTTTAGTTGTATAGCTATTATTGCAGTGATATTAGCGCATCTGTAAAATAGAGCTGGTTGAGACTTTGGCACTCCGATATCTGCACTTTCTTTTGAGTTGATCTCACAAACGTCACGTAGAGCCACAAGTTTAAAAAATATATGTATATATACGGGTATTTTTTTAATTTTGCATTTCAATTTTGTTGCTCTCCTTTGCATGTTTTCGACATTTTATTGACTTGATTTATTTGATGTTCATACACACACACATGCGTACAAACATACACACATGCATATGTACATATGTATGCATATGTATGTGCTCATATGGATGGCAAATTTTCACCACTTTTCATTTTATGTTTTGATTTTTTTATTTATGGATCTTCAACAGCGCCTTTGATTATTTCTAAGCGGCGGCGCTGGGCGCTGTTGCAGTCGAAGCCGAAGCAATAGCCATCAGCTGCGGTGGCCGCAACAGTTTTGGCGGCTGTGAAAGCAACCACCAGAGGGAAATTGCAAAATTTCCTGGTAAAACTTGTAAAACTTGTTGTGACCAACGTACAGTGTTCGAGGCTGTGGCTGTGGCTATAGTCTGTGGCTGTGCCACCGACAATGCTGGAAAATGCTGCAGCCACAGCAGCCGCTGTTCGCTGATCACTGATCGCCGATCTTATATAACTTCCGTGTCTCACCTCGATCGCTTTTCAATTCGCCGTCGCGACGCGTCGCCTGGTGGTGATCTTCGCCTTAAGACTGCCTTAGTTTTGCCTCATTATGCAATTGCCAAGCTTTGACCGATATACACGTATGTACTGCTACTGGCGACCAATTATCGAATTAACTCACTCAGAACCTAATCGAACAGGTTTAGTGACTAAACTGGAAATTATGGGGGTCTGCGCAGTACTAATTTACGAGCTTATGTATTTATGAGAGACATTGCTAAAAATAATTGTTGGGCTCATGACGTTTAGTTTAGTAGAAACCATTCCAGAAATAAATTGAGCAACTTGGATGTTATGAAAAATCTTTAATGGAGCTAGTATTTATGAACGAGCATTTATTAAATATTATGGGGAATCTCCCCTGCACTCCTCATATGAGACATTTAAATAATGAACAATTCGGAATTAAACAATTCCAGAAATAAATTAAGCAGCTTCAGTAAATAGTTTGGATTGTATGGAAGACTTTTAAAAACTTTAATGGAGCTAGTATTTATGAACGAGCATTTATTAAATATTATGGGGAATCTCCCCTGCACTCCTCATATGAGACATTTAAATAATGAACAATTCGGAATTAAACAATTCCAGAAATAAATTAAGCAGCTTTAGTAAATAGTTTGGATTGTATGGAAGACTTTTAAAAACTTTAATGGAGCTAGTATTTATGAACGAGCATTTATTAAATATTATGGGGAATCTCCCCTGCACTCCTCATATGAGACATTTAAATAATGAACAATTCGGAGTTAAACAATTCCAGAAATAAATTGAGCAGCTTTAGTAAATAGCTTGAATTGTATAGAAGACTTTTAAAATCTTGAATAAGTCGATATTCATGAACGAGCATTTATCAAATATTTTGAGGGCTTCTTATATGAGAAATGACAAATTTAGAACTTAGCGGAAGAGGCTTTGTAAAGAGATTGGATAGTTTTTTTGAATCTGCAATCAAGCTCATGTTAACTGCTGCTGTCTTTTAAGTCCTAACTCAAAGAGCTCTTCTTGCCCTCCTCATACCAAGCAATAGGCAAAAAACGGTTTAGTAAATAGATTGGAAAGTATGGAATGTTTTTTGAATCTGCCATCAAGTAGTAGGGTCTTAAAAGTCCTAACTCAAAGAGCTCGTCATGCACTCCTCATACCAAGCAATAAGCAATAATTCAGAACTTAATTAAACAGGAATATGCTGGAAATTATGGTGAGTCTCAAGAGTCTGCAGTGGAACTAATCATAGTCATAGGTATTTCAATCAGATATCACATTCGCACTTTTCTTATCAAGCACTAAAATATCATCAGATTCCTTTCTCTTTGCTTTGTATATTTTATTTGGATTTGATTTTCAACTGAAATTCCAACTGAATTTGATTTCCAACTGCCATCGATCTTTCTGTCTGTATGTATGTATGGATGCTTAGGCTTTGAAAGCTCTAAAGTCTAGGGACTCAAAATTTGGCCCACATATTTTTTCAGTACTGGTATTTCTGTATAGTATAGTAAGCTTTCATTCCATTATTGACAAAGCAACAGTCGGTAGTCAAATGGTATTAGAAAAGTGTGTTGTACCTAAGACTACTTATATTTTAATTGAATTAACATTATTGAGTTATATTAAGACTTTAATAAATACTTATGTAAATAATTATAATATATATTATATATAGTATGTTTCATTATATATAAATAATGA